ACAATTTTGAGGACACCAAGCTGTGTCTTCACTTGCATCCTTCACTCGAGATTCTGCATTTGGGGGACAGTAAACAAACCCTTTGACTACTTACTGAGGCAACCCCGACCAGACAGAGTGACACGTACAGATGTCGAGGTGAGTCGTCACTCGTCTGATCGGCCTGTAAGCTCTGAGTGTTCCCTGCCCAGAGGAAAGCAAAGGATGGGCGTTGGTGCTCTCTCGGAACCACTCGAGACCACAATAGAGGACAAGTCCTGTGACCAACACGTAGACCCATCAGAGGTGCCCAACGGTGGCAGCCCAGGTTCTCAAGAAGGTGCTCTTCCCGTGTGCATACCCCAGATGCACACGCCCACCCCTGCACACCACGCCACGTTCAGCACACACAAAGGCTTTGTGCTGTGAGCCGGCCCAGACGATTTGGGCTGAAAGATTTAAATAACTGCAGGTCTGTTTCCAGCTCCTCGCTGCAACCTAACGAAGCTGGAGGGGAGCCAGGCCCAGCCAGGAGAAAAGCCAGAAGGAAGAGCCACCCGGCCAAGAGCTAGCAAGCGCGGCCACCGGGGCAAGCGAGAAGGACTGTGCCTTTAATTACGTAAAACGCAGCCCGTAAATTCTCATTTTCCTTGCTCTTCACACAGAGATTTTTCCACATTTACAATTTTAAGCAAAACCCACATCTTAGTATGTTAACGTTGGAAGCCAGACCGTCTAACGGTGTCTCAGCTCCAAGGGAGAAGAAGTAGGAGACACTGCTTTACTACAACGACTATTATATTTAGCTCTTATGAACACAGAGCTGACAAACCCATAAGACTCGGTGATCTCTACAAGAAGTTTTTAAAGGACTCTACAAAACAGTCAATGTCATGAAAAAAGCAGAAACTGGAGATTAAAGAGACATAATGACCAAATGCGATGTATGATCTTTGGTTGGACCCTAGACCCAAAAAGAAAAAATAAAGAAGGCTGTAAAAGTCAAATTTAAATATGGGCCATACATTGGAGCATATTGTTGAGTAAATGTTAATTTCCTTAGGTGCATGATGATGATATTGCATTTATATGAGAGAATGCGTTTATTTTTAAGCATACATTTGAACTATTTAGGGGTGCATTACAAAGCAGGTAATGCAACTTTCAAACGGTTCATAAAAAGCAAGTGTGTGCACATGTATGTTCACACATGTGAGGGAAGGGAGAGAGGGACTGTGAGTCTGACTGCGGGTCTGTGGAGACAGAGAGAAAGCAAACACGGCATAATATTAAGAAGTGGTGAATCTAGATCAGGGGTCAGC